AAAGCCCAGCTGACCACTACTCCCCTGGTTCGGGGTATACTTGCAGACACAAAGGAGAGCATGAATCTTGAAAGTCCATAGAAAGTTAATAGATAAAAGCTGTGGTCAGAATGTTTTACGCCTTGTTTACTGATTACTTCCACAGAAATTTTAGTGCCCTCTTCTGTGCCCTGTAGACACAGCAGGAGAGTGTCCAGCCTACGTGGGGTCCACATCTTATGGGCGAGGCATGCACTCACCTGAACAAACATTAAATTAGGAGGGCCATGGAAGGGTCATCAGAGAAATAAATTTAGGAGGGGCAGGCAGGGAGTGCAGGAGTGAGGGGTCAGTCAAGCCTGGATGGCAGGACAAAAAGGTGGCCAGAGAGAAGGACACTGAACATTCTGGGTGGGGTTCTGGCTTCACCCCAGAGATCTGAGTCCAGAGTCTGGGGCCAGGCATAGTCTATCTTCTGTATGTTTAAGGAGAACACCTGGTGAGCCTGGCAAGGGGCCTAAGGGCCAGGCCCAATTGATGGCCCATATCACCTTTGACCCTGCTTATTTCTGGGTGCTCTGTCTTTGGCTCAGTCCAGATGGGCACAGTGGCTTGGACAAGAGCCAACCTAACTGTTTCACAGGTGTTACCTAGGGACACATGCCACTCCCCTGCCCAGGTGTTTGGCCCACAGCAGAAAGCAACTGCCTGTTGGTGGCGGTCAGCCAGCGCAAGGGTAAGGGGGGATACCTGAGACCCTGGTCCTGGGCCAGGCTCAGAGACCATCAGATGAAGAAGGACCCACAGCCCAGGGCCTGGGGCAGCCTGAGGAGCCTGTGAGCAACAGCCTGCTGCTGGCCAGCAGGTCCAGTACCTCTAGGCTCTCAGGCCCTCATGGGGCCAACACTCATTTCATGGACCCTGAGAGCACTGGCCTGGGCCAGAGGCCTAAGTCAAAGCTAAGGGAGGGACTGTGAGGCTACCAGGTGGGGTAAAGCTAAGCCAAGCCCCTTAGGCCAGGCCAGGCTGGGACCCTGGTTGAGTAAAGGACCCCGTCACGGTTATGCAGGCGTCTCCCTAGGCCTCAGGGAGGAGCAGGAACAGAAGGCTGGAGGCCCTGCCCTCTGTCTCTCCCAGCAGGGTTGGATGTGGATGGACCCAGCCTGGGGTGGATCCCAGGGGCCTCGGCCACACACAGCCAGCGTCCATGTACGTGAGCTGAGTTGGCAGGGCCTGCACAACCCCTGCCCACAGAGCAGGTCCCTGGGCAGCCATGGGGACAGCTGCAGGGAGCAACTGTTGGAGCACCTGTCCCCTGCTCGACTGGTAAGTGTCAGAGGCCGGGAGCTCTGGCCACAGGGGCCTGCATAAGGTGACATCCTGAGCCCCTTTTCTGCTGATACCCAGCCTGCCGTCAGCCCAGCCGTCATAGCTAGGGGCCCTCTACCTTTCTAATCTTGGGACCTACCAGCCCCCAAAGCACCACCAGCCCTAGATGGCAGATGTTCCTAGGTCCTGACAGGCCAGGATTCTGTAAGTGCTTGTTGAGACCACTGTCCTGGAACCAGAGGAGGCTCCTCACTCCACCAGTGGGTGCTCTGGTGGCAAGACAGGCAGGCCATCAGAGTGGGCTCACAGAAGAGCAAGGTGCAGAGAATCAGGCCTAGAAGGGGGCTGTGCCTGCAGGCAGCTGGCTGGACATGAGTGCCCCCACTGGAGTGCCTCCCTTGGGCAGTCTGGAGATGGTCTGTGGCCTGCTTTCCCAGGGCCAGGGCTCTCATGCCCCTTCCCAACCCATCAGACCTTTAGGATGAGGTGGGGGCCATGCGAGTGCACTGACTATGCCTGGGCATCAGATGGAGTCTTCTCCCAAAACCTTGTGTGAGGACTCACTGTTGCACCCCAAGCCTGAGTTCTAGAAGATCTGCAGAGTCCTCTTGGGAAACACTGTATCTCCCCTGTACAGGACCTCCTATGCATCATTGGCTCCCTTGGGGGAGAGGACTCCCTCCGGTGTAAGCCTCACCCGTCACCCAGGCCATCCTTCAAAATGACCTACATGTCTACCTCGTCCCTGAGGGTCCCACTAACCCCACAGCAGGTGGGGGCCCAGGATCTTGCAGGCAACACTTATATTGCACACACAGGAGATACCTTGTCGAGGAGAGCCAGCACAGAGTGACCAGCAGGGGCCCAGGAGTGGCTCAGAGCATGCCAGCTTGCCCACAGGTTGTAGCCAGCGTGCTTGGCAGAGCTAGCTCCTGGTGCCTGTGCTTTGGGTCTGTTCGCAAGGTCTCCTTCACAGCCTCACCCCGAGAGCAGGCCCTTCTCTGGCAGTGGCCTCCAACCAACCCCAGTCACAGCCACTACTCAGGTCACATCTACTTTCACTCTGCCTGCCGGGCCATTGTTGGCCCAGGTTAATGTGGTGATTCAGGGCAGTACATGTCACCTGCTCCTGTGGGCCTCACAGAGCCCCACTGCCAAAGGTGTGAAGGAAACTGGAAGGAAGTGACGCCCCTGTTGGTATCTGCAGCGGGTCCTGGCCCAGGTGGACAACCTCCAGCTGGTGCGGGTGCTGGAAATGTGTGTGGACACCCGTGAGAGCAGCCTGGGAAACTTCGGTAAGCACTGCCTGTCCAGGGCCTGCCCTGCCCCACTGTGGTCGAGGCCAGCCGCTCTGTGAAACGTCTTTCTGGCTGTGAAGGTGATGTTGGCAGACACCTTGGGCGGCTTGCACATTTCCTCAAGATCCGTCCCAGGACCCAGATCTGAGCCAGGCAGGGGCAGAGGTTTAGGCTGTGGTTCATGTTTCCCCACTGCCCTCGGAAGGACTCTGCTCCCATGCCAGCATGGCCAAGGAGTGAAGGTTGAAACGTGCCCCCAGATACCACACCTTGGTGGCAGGTGCTCCCAAAACTTATTTTGAAATAATTCTAGATTTGTGCTGGGTGAGGTGGAGCAGGCCTGTAATCTCAGCAGCTCAGAGAGCTGAGGCAGGAGGGTCGCAAGTTCAAAGCCAGCCTCAGCGACTTAGGCTCTCAGCAACTTAGTGAGGCATCGGCTTTATTCCGGCTAGGCTGTGTGGGATTGTGGCCCCTCAGTGGTTGGGGAACAGAGTGCTCGGATCACCTGAAGCAGGCCCCACAGAATAGGGCCCACTGACAGCTAGAGGAGCCACCCTGCCTGCCCATCCATGATGCAGGGAGACAGCTGGTCAACAGTACCACCCCCACAGTGTGGTGAGACGCTCTGCCCAGAGGCTGGTCCTACCGCATTGGGGAGCAACGGGGCTGAGGGGTGCTGGTGTCTGGGGAGGAGGCGTGAGTGAGGGTGGGCAGGGTGAGGGCCAGGCCCAGCGCTCCTCCTGTGACACACAGGAGTCCACCTGCCCAACCTGGACCAGCTGAAGTTGAACGGCAGCCGCCTGAGCTCCCTTAGGTGAGTGAAGGGCCTGAACCAGGGTCCTGCCAAGGCAGTGGGGTGGGGTGGTGATCTAAGGGCTGGGCAGTGGTCTGTAGGGCTGGGCTGGGACAAGGACCAGTGGCCCAGAGCTCAGCCTCAAGCTGCTGGCTGCCCAGGGAGACAGGCTCCTGCTGCTAACTCCCGGTGGCACAAGGAAGGGTGATGGGACATTCTTTTGGGTGTGGGCTCCCTCCAAGGTGGGGGTGTCTCCCTAGGGGCAGGGTCTTGACTGAGGGGTCCCTGTTCAGAAGATGAGTCTGAACCCTGGCCAGCGCAGTCCCTCAGGTGCTGTGCCCCCTGGGGTCCTGTGGCCTCTGGCTCTTGGCCCTAATGCCTCAGCCCAGTGGGTCCAGGCTGGCCTACCTGACTCTTCTCACCCCCCTTTGTGGGAGGCACCTGCTCCGTGGGAATGTGGAGCACACCCAGAGCCTCCAGGCCTGGGTCAGGGCAAGGATCTGGGGTCCTGGGGCTGACTAGCCCCAAGGTGCTCACCAACCCCTGAAAAGAGACCTTGACCTGTGAGGGGCTTCTGGCAGACACCTCAAAGCAACCCAGACTTGAGGGGGCCTGGGACCCTGACCCCTCGCTGCAGCCCTGGGTGTCAGCTGCACTGTGAGGGCTGGAGCAGGGCAGGCAGCTGGTGAACCTGGCGGGAGAGCAGGTGGGCACAGCCCGCAGCCACCCTCCCTGAGGGCCAGGCCACTCCTGAGGTGGCCCGGCACACACCAGAGCTCTGGAACAGCTGGCTCAGAGGGTGGCATCCAAAAAGAGACAAGCTTTCAGTTTTTTATCTCATTGAACTGAAAAGAACAGACCAAAGAAACGTCTGGCATTGTCTTGGGGTTTGAGCAAAGGAGTTTTTGTGAAAATGCTGCCTGTCTTGTGTGCCTGAGCCCAGCAACTTACGGCAGGGGCGTTTCAGCCAGAATTCTGGAAAGCTCTCCACGTCTCTGAACTGGCTCCACATGCCATATCCAGTTATTTCCAGTTGAGATGATAAAGGTATTTATTATGCAACCTCACTGTTGCTTTTTAAATTTTTTTTAAATTTTTTAAATTTATACTGCTCTTTAGCAAATAGACATCAAGTAGAATTTAACAAAACATGCAAATATCTGAAACAGGGAAAGAATCAGAAGCTGTTGCCCTAGCCATGGCCCATAGAGCCGGCACCAGCACCACTGAACAGGAGAGACACAGGCAACCCTCCCCCAGCACACCTCGGAAACGGAAAACCCATGAAGATGGACACTAGGAAAGACAGCGCCAGTGACTTAAAACTAAGGAATCTGTGGATACCACAGGAACAAACGGGACAATCCACGGGGTTCCAGATCTTCAATTCTATGACAGTGCATTCTGTTCTTTGATAACTGTAGTGAAAAGTATAGTGACCAGGTCCAGGCACAGTGGCCATGCTTATCATCCCAGCCACTCGGGAGTCAGAGCAGGAGGGTCACAAGTTCAGGGCCCTCCTGGGCCACTCAGGAAGACCCTGTCCCAAAATAAAAGGTCTGGAGTGCAGCTCAGTGGTAGAGCAGCCCTGAATTCAATTGTCAGTCCTGAAAAAGAGAAAGAAAAGAGGGAAGGGGAAGAAAAAAACATAGTGACCCTTTATCAGATCTTGAAACTTGGCCAAATGGTGCTTACCAACTTCTACAGGTTGAAAATGAACAGGAATTTCTCAAACAAAACTGATTAAATAGGACCACCCTCCTGGGCGTGGTGGAGATGAAATATAAGCGTATAACTTAGCTATTGTAGCTCAGCCAACTGCAGCTATTGTAAACACCCCATGTCAGTATTATAAGGGCTGGAAAACAGGCTGGTTTTTTTTGTTTGTTTGTTTTGTTTTTCCAGAGCTAGGGACAAAACCCAGGGCCCATGCAGGCTAGGCTACCATTGAGCCATACCCCAGCACTTTTCATTTTCTCTTTTGGGACATGGACTCACTAAGTTGCCCAGGCTTGGCCTCAATCCTGAATCCTCCTGCCTCCTCAGTCTTCTGAGTTGCTGCGATGACAGGCGTGGACACTGCGCCTAGCAGTGGGAGATGATTGTAGTGTAGTAGTTGTCAGTTCCTCAGAAGTTGAGAGAATTCAGCCCCAGGAACATCACAGGCATGAAGACAAGTGTCCTCGACCCGTGGGCTGCCGTTACCCAGCCTCTGGCTCAGCAGAGAGAACAGAGTGTTGGCAGGGCTCAGGCACACAGCTGCCACTGCGCGCTCCCAGGTGAGAAGCCAAGACCACGCTCAGGAGCTCCACAGGTGACCTGGGCAAGTTCCTTGCACCCCCATGGCTCTCGCACCTCTCCTCGCTGGAGAAGTCAGGCCTCCCTTCACTCACCCTGGGCTCGCTTTTTTGGGTGAATTCTGTCCTTCCTTATTGATTTATGGGAGTTCTTTGTGTATTCTGGGTGCACTTTAGACTTTTTGTAAGACTTTTCCCTCAGCCCTTCATTTTGATTTGTCCCAATCTGTCAATTCTGGCCAGAGCTCTGGTCGTGCACACCCCAGGCTGCAGAAATTCTGCTTTTTCTTCTGTCTGCTGTGTGGTCTCACTCTGCCTTTCAGGCCTTTAACCCAGTGAACTGCAAAGTCACCACTGACGGTGGCAGGAGGTAGGAACCAGCTTGCTTTCACTGTGTGGTGGGTCTGTCTGCCAGGCCACCTGTCGTTCCCTAACTAGAGTCCTGTCTGGCGCTGGTCAGGCCGTGTGTGTATGCAAACACCTGCATGAGTTCCACTCCAGCTGCCACTCCACTCCCAACGCCACACTGTCCTCTGGATATGTGCCAAACCTCATCCTCACTGCCCTTCTAGTCCTGAATACTTATTCTTGCACTTGAATTTTACAATCAGGCCCTTGAGCTTACATACACACACACACACACACACACACATGCACACACTAATCTCTCTAGAATTTTTATTGAAATTTAACAAGATCTAAATGCTAATGTGGGGGTTATACATCCAACACACGGACGCTTCTCCACTCACGTGCTTCTCCTGTATTTTGGAAAGCATTTGAAGCCTCTGCTGGGAAGCCTGTGGGTCAGGGTGCTCTCTACCTGGGCACAGCAGCCTGCTTGGGGAGGCAAGGCGTCTGGGCTCTGCAGTGAGGGGGTGCCACAAGTCACAGTTCAGTCCAGCCAGAGGTTTGGCTCCCCTCCACAGGAGGTGTGGCCTGTCACTGTGCTTGTCCCCTCATGGGGAAGAGGCTTCTTAACCCTGGTGGACCAGTGTTGCTGTGAGAAAGGACCTCAAGCCAGAGAACGACACAGTGGGCTGGAGGCCGGACGCTCAGCTCTGGGCGCAGAGCTGCAGGTGTGGGGCACCGGCTCCGCCCAGGCTGCGAGGGCTGTCTCTGCTTCTCGGCTTTGCTGGGACCCTTCCTCCTTGTGCCGTGGGAGCGTAACCCCACCTCTGGCTCCATCGTCACGTGGTCACGTGATGTGCGCCCTGCGTGTGTCTGTGAGCAGACTTCCCCTTTTCACAAGGACACCAGTCATGCTGGAGAGGGGCCTTCCCTAGTGACCTCACCTTCTCTGATACATCTGCAACCACCCTATTTCCAAGTGAGGTCACCCTCTAAGGTGCTGGGGTCAGGACTTCAGCACAGGGCTTTGTTTTTTTTATTTTTTTAAGAGAGAGAGATAATTTTTTAATATTTATTCTTTAATTTTTGGTGGACACAACATCTTTGTTTTATTTTTATGTGGTGCTGAGGATCGAACCCAGAGCCCCTCGCATGCCAGGCAAGCTTGCTACTGCTTGAGCCACATCCCCAGCCCCAAGGGCTTTGTTTTTTCTATATTTTTGATCAGTGCATTATAGTTGTAAGGAGGGGTGCATTTGCTGTTACATATTGGTACATGTACACAATCTACCAATACAATTTAGCCAACGTCCCTCCCCAGCATGTCCTCCCTCCCTCTAGACCTCTCTCCCCTGGGCCCTTCCTCTGCTGTACTAACCTTCCTTTGGTTTTCATGAGATCTGCCCCCCTCTTCCTTTTCATTTTTCCTCTCTAGCTTCCACATATGAGAGAAACACTCGGGCCTTGACCTTCTGAGTTTGGCTTATTTCACTGAACACAATACTTTCAAGTTCCATCCATTTCCATACAAATGGCATAATTTCTTTTATGACTAAAACTCCATTGTGTATATATATACCTCTTTTCTTTATCCACCCGTCCATCGAGGGACACCTAGGCTGGCTCCGTCGTCTGGCGGCTGTGAATGGTGCTGCTATAAACGTGGTGTGTGTGTGTCACTGTAGTGAGATGACTCTAACTCCTCAGGGTCAATACCGAGGAGTGGGACAGCTGGGTCACATGGAGGTTCCCTGCCTGGTCTTTTGAGGAGCCTCCCTACTGATTTCCACGGGGGGTCGTGCTAATTCATAGTCCACCCACAGTGTAAAGGGTTCCTCTCCCCGCATCCTCCAGCACGTGTTGTTCACACCCTGATGGCTGCCCTCCTGACGGGTGTGGGACACAGCTCAGTGTGGTTGTGAGTTGCATTTCCCTAATTGTTAATGATGTTGAACATTTTCCATGATTTGTTGCCCATTTGAACTACTACTTTTGAGAAGTGTCTGTTTAGCTCATTTGTCAATTTATTAATTGGGTTACGTGGTGCCAAATTTTTGAGTTCTTTTTAATATTCTAGATATCAATATCTGTCAGAAGAGTAGCTGGCAAAGATTTTATCCCATTCTACGGGCTCTCTCTTCACATTCCTAATTGTTTCCTTTGCTGTGCAGAAGCTATTTAATTTGGTGCCATCCCATTAATTAACTCCTGAGTTTTAGGGGTCCTGTTGAGAACGTTGTTGTCTGGGCTTAAAGGCTAGAGTGTTGACCTTATGTTTTCTTCTAGGAGTTGCATAGTTTCTGGTCTAATTTGGAGGTCTTTTGATCCACTTTGGGTTGATTTTTGTGCAGGGGGATAATCAGTCTTCCCAGCACCCTTTATTGAAAAGGCTGTCTCTTCTCCAATGTATGCTTTGGGTACCTTTGTAGAAAATCAGATGGCTGCAGTAGTATGGATTTGTCTGTCTTCTATTCTGTTCCATTGGTCTACGCCAGCACAGGACTTTGTGGGACGTTCACTCAGAGCAGAGAATGTGCCCCTGTCTCCTGGGAAGAGTGGGCAGAACAAACCCCAGCATTCTTCCTCACGCCCTGTGCCAAGAGCCACAGCACACACAGTGTCCACTCCAACCACTGGCAAGGGAAGGCCTGTGACTGCAACAACCAGAACCCCCACCCTGGGACAGAGTTGGGGGCCCAGTTCCTCTAAAGCAGCATCTCCAGAAAGCCAGGACTGAATGCATCTTCACAGCACAGTACGAATGGCATCTTGAATAGAGTCTTGTTTCTGTTGTGTTTTTGTTTATCGCAAATATAGAGAAATGCTATATTGACTCAGAATCACTTTCAAAAATCAAAAGAAACAGCCAAGCATGGTGCACACGCCTGTAATTCCCTGCCCCTCCCCCCCAAAAAATCAATAGAAGCACTTTGTTTGTCTTGATTGTGTTGTATTCGTTCCCACATCTGACCAATTCATCTGGGGCTCCTGTGTGACTGTCGTAGCAGCAGCAAATTCGGTAGCTCTGGCTCTCCATTCCAGTCCCAGGCTCTGGCTGCTCATCCCCAGCCAGGCCATCAGAACCGGGTTGACAGTGACACAGTAGGTCCTGGCTGGCTCAGGGTTGTTAGCACCAGAAGACTGGGCAACCTTCACAGATCAGCCAAAAACCTTTATTCAGGAATGGAGTCATGGTTCTAATGGACCCACACTCCTGGTGGAGAATGAGCCTCTGAACAAAGGGGGGACTGGGCTCATACGGGTCACGGGTGATTTATTCAGCGGGTCAGTCTGGGCACTGGGAATTTGGGTTTGGGGTTTGGGGGTCGGCGGCCAGCACCTGGAGAGGAGTTATCTTGGAAGAGATGAGTGTTTCTAGAGACTGTCACTCTAGGTTTGAAGGAACACTTCTCCCTGCCTGCGGCCAGCGTCTGGGAAGGACGGCTCTTAGAAGAGACACAAGTTATCAATGTATGCCTTTCTTTTTCACTTCCTTCTCCCAGGCCTCACTATTTTGGGTTTTTTTCATTTTCCGTATCTAATAAGTGTGGCAGGGGGCACGTGACCCCAGGTGAAAATGCCCCCCAGGCCACTGGTACCTGGAGTTCTCTCAGTAGATGTAGTGGTGGTGATTTATCCTAGCGCCCACATGGACTCTACTGGACTGTGCTGAGTTGTCCTAAATTAACTGTGATGTTAAAAGGACATTGACTGAGAAGTTTCACATCTATTTCCATAAGTACTGGTTCTTTTGTTTCCTACTACTGTACTTTTCTGGTTCTGGAGTCAAGAATCGACTCATGAAGTGTCTCTTCCGTTTTTTGTTCTTGTTAAAGTTGCTCTACTGTATTTTATTACTGGATTACACCCAGGGCCTCATGCATACTAAGCAAGTGCTCCACCACTAAGCTACATTCCCAGTCCCCCTTTAGTTTGAGGCAGGGTCTCGCTAAGTTGTTGAGGCTGGCCTCAAACTTGTGATCCTTCTGCCTCAGCCTTCTGAGTCCCTGGGATTATAGGTGTGCACCATCACACCCAGCCAATTCCTCGATTTTTTGAAACTTCTTGAATGAAAAATTATCTTAAAATATGGAAATTATCTATTCCAGGATGCTTTTAATATACTTTTAAAATTGGTTCAGAGCTAGAGATTCCTAAATGACCACTGGTCTAACCCTGTTCTCTGTCACTGCTGCTTTCCTAGTGCTCAGAGCTGCTGGGCGGGCCTTTTCACGTGGCCTCTGGTGTCTCACGTTCCGGCTGGGGCTGCCATCGGGCTTCTTTTTAAACTGTCTGGATTTACTCTTCCTTATTGTTGGTCATTTGTGGAGGTCTGTCGGGAGAACCTGCTTTGGGCTGCCCATTGTCCCGTGTCTCTGGGGCT